CGAAATAGTCATCGCTTGGTCACGCCCTCCTCTTCTTCCATCCACACACCCGGCGCACAAACAACGCACGTCGCAGGAGTCAGTGGGCTGGCATGAGTAACATGTGTCCGAGCCATCGGAGCCTGGGGCGTGAAATAATGGTGCTGAGCGGTTCATTTCATTTTCCTGTGCCGTAAACAAGGCGTCGAACACGCTCGTTACTCACGCGGTGTTCCCACCAGATGTGAGTCAAACTGCGAAGGCACCGATGGTCGAACGTAACTAGCCTCTTCATGTCCGCCGATCTTAGGGGCCAGGTTTCACAACCGTACAGTAGTGTCCAACCTGCCGCTGCATTGTACACTCTGCCCTTCAGGGCGAGAGTGATGTCGAGCTGACGTCATAAGTGGCGAAGGTTAGCAAAAGCGCCCCGTGCTTTTCCTATACGGTTCGTGATCTCATCTTCAATCCCACGGACGCAAGTAGTTGAATTTTTGAACGACTTCTAGCTGCTCTCCACCAACGGCCAGCGAAGGAGACGGTCCAGACCAATCTTGGAGGAACGCTTTGCACTTCGAGGGTGCGAAGCAAAACCCGAAGTGACGGACAGCCAGTGCTAATCTGTCCAGTGCCGCTTGACACTTTGTGAGCTGTCACAGATTAGGGCAATATCATCATCATACTAAGTCAAGAAGTCGTTCTCCTGGGAGCAGATTCACACCTTCAAAGTCGTGTCATGTGAACGCGATTTCCATGACTTCGTCAACAGCGAAGTTGAAGAGGAAACGTGACAGCGGGCATCCTTGTCTCACACTACTGGAGATATTAATGGGCGACGACAGCTTGCCGTAGGCCCTCACTCTGCCTGAGCTACGCGTGTATAATACTAGGATAATATTTACATATTTCTCAGGTGAACCTTTCCTGAGTAGACAGTCCCAAAGCGCACGCCTATCCATCGAATCGAACTCACCTTTGATATCGAGGAACACGATAACAGTGGGCCGTCAATATATGTGGTGTTACTCCAACCACTGATGCAAGGTGGAGATGTGAGCAATGCAACCACGACCTTGACTAAATCCGGCTTGCTCTTGGCAAACCTGGCTTTCACTAGTGCTAGTCAGTCTATGAAGGATGACAGAGGTAAGGAATTTGTTGACGATTGAGATCAGACTGATTCCTCTATGGCTGCCGCATTCCGATCGTGAGCCTCCCTTCAAAATTGGGACTACGATGGAGCGGCTCCAGCTGGTTGGGACAGTTTCCTGCTCCCACTGTTTCACTAGTAATCAGTGTAAATCGTCAACAAGAGCAGTTCCCCCGAATTTGAAGAGGGCTGGATGGAGATCATCCGGTCCCCCAGCTTTGCTCAACTTCAGCAGTCTGATCTCAACTTCGACTGTTGAGCGAGATGGCGGATGCAAAGGGACAGCCCAGGGAGTGGGGCGATCACTGGCCGGTGAGAAATCTAACAATTCCGACCGATGAGATTGTCTTTCGAAGTGCTCAGCCCAATGTTCCAAGCGTTTTGACAAGTTGTGGATAATCTGTCCACTCTCGTCACGTATAGTTTCACTAACACCAGGTCTCATGCTGCGCGTTTCCCGTATCAGTCGGAATAACTTATGATGGTTACCGAAGGCAGTGTCCATTTCCATCTCTGAAGCACGAGAAGACCCCCAGGATTTGCGGTCTCTCTTCAGGCTAGCACGGAGTTTTGCCCGGAGCTCTTTGCGAGTTTAATTGTGTGCTCTTCTAGCCGGAATATGCCGGCGAGATTCGATACGTTCCAGAGACTGCGAAGAGACCAAGTGTCCATGTTGGTGATTAGACTTACCACATGAGGATTTTCCTACTGCTAGTAAGGTCTAGTGAATATGAGACCAATGAGCTTCAATTGCATCCAATGAGCGCTTACTCAACTCGCATATACCAGCGTGCTTTGATAGGCAAAGCAAAAGCAAGGTGGCCAACGTATGACTTGGGCCAAAAGCATGAAGGAGGTAACGTTAAAACTACTAAGCTCTGAGTTCCACCCCAGCTCAGGCTATCTCCACCTGACGAGTCCCAACCAGGATGAAACTGCGGTCGTGGTGTGCCAGTGTTGGGAAGAGGAACACTCAAATATTTCCAAAGCTAACGTTAAATTTAACCGTGGTCGGACGCTGTTGGCTCCCTGACGGGAGTGAGAAGGATCCGGAACACAAACTGTTGGAAACGCTCTAGGACATGGCGAGAAATCGTGCAGAATGGCAGACTTGTTGTGACTCATTATTCCCATGACATCAGGTATTTCCTTTTATCTTCGCATGTTTATTGTAATTTTCATATGTTGTGGTGCTATGCCAATTGTAGTAATGGCCGTGCAGAACATATATATATATATATAATTTCTTACTTATGATTTGAATAAATAATTTAGCGAAGAGTCATGCCACCGTAGCTGTATGCATTATTGGATTTATTTAATTTCAGCTTGTCGTTTAAAGTGAATGGCTGTTGTTTGACATCCCTGGTATGGTTGCGCTTGATGTGTATGTTGACAAGGTGCCTACCTGTCTATTACCCACTACATCGCTCATACTGGCTCCAGGAGACAGTTGGTCGTTGCTGGAGGGGACGGGGTGCACGGTTCTTGTGGCCGTGCTAGGCTCAAAGAGCGGTTCCATGCACTCAGTGTGGAGCGGACTACGGTCCAGCCACCGCCTTGTGTGCGGTTGATTCCCCAAATACAGCGTGCTTGTGTTTGCTTGTGAAGGAGTGTGGGTCGGCTCCGTTGATGAAACGTGGTTCCCATCCGCATGCCTCCCGGTCTTATTCCTTCGGGTTTACACTGGATATGGGGTGTGTGGTTGGAGCTGTGATATATATATATATATATATATATATATATATATATATATATATATATATATGGTTCGCAGCATCCGGTTTCGGATTTGCCTGTCAATGTGGCCAGCCACAAGGCGCCTACGCCTACAGAGGGACCATAGGTGGCTTGCGCTGCACCATCCACAGCTCCATCCACGCACCCCATATCGAGTGTAAACCCGAAGGAATAAGACCGGGAGGCATGCGGATGGGAACCACGTTTCATCAACGGAGCCGGCCCACACTCCTTCACAGGCAAACACAAGCACACTGTATTTGAGGAATCAAGCGCACACAAGGCGGTGGCTGGACCGTAGTCCGCTCCACACTGAGTGCATGGAACCGCTCTTCGAGCCTAGCACGACTACAAGGACCGTGCACCCCATCCCCTCCAGCAACGACCAACTGTCTCCTAGAGCCAGTATGGACGAGGTAGTGGGTAATAGACAGGTAGGCACCTTGTCAAAATGCACATCAAGCGCAGCCACACCGGGGATATTAAGCAACAGCCAGTCACTTGAAAAGACAAGATGAAATAAAATAAATCGAATATTGCATACAGATACGGTGCCGTAACTCTTCGCCAAATTAGCATATGAAGTAAGTTGGTTAGCAACGAATCCGCGCTAAGTAAAAATGTCCACATGTTACTTACAAATGCTACAAACGCAACGGAGTTACCGAAGATAAGTGCAATTATTGTAATCAATGTGGTCAGTTAATAGAAAATTATTCAGGTAGGCAAAACAAACCAAATAAAGTGGAATGAAATTTAGCCAGCTTAAAAAGACCTAGTTTAAGTGTAAGTTGGTTTAGCCCATCTGCGATGAAGAAGCATCAAGGGTACAACATCAGCTTCAGTATGAGACATATATATAAATATATATAAATATAAATATATATAAGCCCCAGCCACTACCGTTAACATAGGCAGTGGCTGCCCGTCTCAACGTATTTCCCAAAGCGCCTTACTGTCTCTTTTGTCTGCCGATTCTGGTAATTTACCATTAGATGCGCTGGTAAAGGGCAAGTTAAGTGAACGCTCAGTCCGACACTTTGGCCAATTTCAGCTACTTCGGTCATTTGATTAATGAATTGTAATTATGTTGTTTAGAAGGTGCCCAGTTTCGTTCTTAGGAGTCCTGGTTAACAAACCCACGACATAAAACAGTCCTAGGTGTTGACACCAATGATGAGCGATGGAAAAGTATTTACGGAGAACAAACACAAACTATTCCCAGTAATAGGTAGAAATTCGTCACATCTAGACTCACTCAGACAGCCGTCACATGCCAGGAAAAGCACTGTACGCGCTTTTCATCCTTTTAGGAATGGTCAGCAGTGCGTATTCCATCGGACCCCTGGTAGGGCTCGAACCCGCAACTCGACTGTTGCCAGTCCGTGGTTGAGACCACTGAGCTACGGGGGACGGCAACGACCATCGTCAGTAAGTTACTAGATGTGATATAGCGCCGCTCCCTATCCACTGACTTACAAGTCACTGTCGTACAGAGGACAGGGTAGCCCCCTCACCAAGCGACGAGCTTACCAAACTTAAGCTGCCAATTAACTTATGGCATTATAAGCGGTTTGGTCTGCATACTGATTATAGATGAGTAGTAAGGGGAGTCGAATGTTATAGTTAGAAATTCTAGACTCACTTAGACAGCCGTCACACGCCTAGTACTATTCTATAATCAGTATGCAGACCAAACCGCTTATAATGCCATAAGTTAATTGGCAGCTTAAGTTTGGTAAGCTCGTCGCTTGGTGAGGGGGCTACCCTGCCCTCTGCACGGCAGTAACCTGTAAGTCAGTGGATAGTGAGCGGCGCTATATCACATCTAGTAACTTACTGACGATGGTCGTTGCCGTCCCCCGTAGCTCAGTGGTCTCAACCACGGACTGGCAACAGTCGAGTTGCGGGTTCGAGCCCTACCAGGGGTCCGATGGAATACGCACTGCTGACCATTCCTAAAAGGATGAAACGCGCGTACAGTGTTTTTCCTGGCTTGTGACGGCTGTCTGAGTGAGTCTAGATGTGACAATTTCTACCTATAACATTCGACTCCCCCTACTACTCTTTTATTCCCAGTAAGTCAGAGGATTTACTGGGGGAGGTAACGGTTAGCATTTTGGCTACTTACCTCGACGTTGCATGTAGGCGAATAGTTCGTCCAAGAATTCCTTTCTTTTAGGGTCATCCGAGAGAACATAAAGCTGCAAGAGAGAATAGAATACACGCTCATTAAGCTAACAGAGTTGAACAGGTCTCATTTAATAGATAACAAGCATGCTGTTATTGGGTTAATCTTTGGTTGCTACATGTAGTCTTTAAAGTGGTGTACCCCTTGGGTTTCCACTTCCCGCTCTATTTACAGTTTCACTTCACATATCCGTCGCAACTTTGTATTTAATTATACCCGAGGAAATCTGAAAAATGCTAAGATTTTGTGGCATATGTAAAGCCTACTAATCGTAAGGTTGTGAGCTTGTGTTCGGCGACTACCTCAAACTTGTGCAATCCCGCAGAATGCATTGCTGATCAACACCATCGTCACTCGCCGATAAGTAGAAATGGTCGCACAACCCACTTATCAACTTGTGTAAAGTCTAAACGAACTAATGTTTGAGAATTCGCAATTCAGTCCGTTCACAACTCTCCTGTCACACAATATCCCAAAGACCACATTTTGCCGATACGTCGTTTGCCTCCAGTCAAGCGAACATGGTTAGTTGCTTAATGTCACTACGTTATTCATCTTCTGTCACTGAGGGTTGGCTTCATTATCCACCTGCTTAGTTATCGTTGTGAAACCTGTGTAGATCTGTGCGTGAATGGCAGTGAATTTCATCAACTCATCATCTTTTTTGTGCACTGGTTCATTGTAGGCTGCATAATTACCAGGTTAATTGATAAATAATGCAGCATCTAGATAAGGGGAGTAATTAAACTTGTCCTTCAGTCCCCCAAGAGAGATGGATCGGCGTTTGGATGGGACAATGGGAAAAATTCCTCCGCCGTGTACAACCAACCTCGGTTTGACATCCCCACCTCGCCCGTCTCCCGTACGCGACAATCTGTCCCACGATCCATCCTGAGTACCATCTTGGAACGAAGGTGTTGGTTTTGCACACTCTCAGCTACCCCCACCCACTTTTCACATTTTATTCCGTACTGTGCTCCCACTAGTCCGCACGTGCCTAAGTCGTTGCTGTCATAAAATCCACCCTGAAGGTGAGCAGCCCCAGTCGCAGTGATAGTAAGAGAGAACAGTGGCGCGCCAGAGAGACCACTATGTACAGGGAAGTAGACAATTTTTATGTGTCAACCTCATCACTAATTCATCCGAAGTCAAGTTTCTTAGCCAGGTGTTTGGTCCCTCTACGGTCTGCCACAATTATTAAGAGGGGCACGCGACAATACTCATGACCAGTAGGACTGAAAATAAGTCTTCTTTGTTGTCAATCTTTCATCGTTGCTAAAGTAGCAAACCGCCTCATTCGCCACCTGCCGATTGTAGTGTTGCTAAAACTTGAAGCACAGCGGTTTTAAAATCTAACGCGTCTCAGGACGACTGTGTGCCACCAAATGAAACTAGGCAGGGAAATGATGCTGCTACACGGTTACAAATAACTAGCCTAAGCCCAAGTCCCCATGCTTCTCCTTCGGTTAGGATGCCAGATACATAATACGCAGATGGGTAAGCATTGATGATTATACGCCCTAGTGGAATAATGACCACCTAAAATTCGAACCATGGTATTATTATGCAATCGACTGACCTGTTTAAATTGTTCCTCAAATGTCCAGTGTTGTCCGGAACCGGTTTTTCCCGTTATCTCAGTTCCACTAGTTTCCTGTTCCGCACTCTCCATATCTTCTGCTTCTTCGTCGTTTTCTCCCTCGTCTTCCTCATCTCCTTCATCTTCCTGCATCATGGAATCGTAAAGATCTCTCGGTTTGCATAATTCTGTGATCCGGGGACTGACGGAAGCGGACAACGAAGGCGGTGATGGCGTATCAGCTGTCAGTCGATCGCCTGACATATTCCCAAAAAGTAGTTTGGATGTGTTGTACATAGCGTGCATCGGAGACAGTGGTGTGTCCTGTTCTGCATCCCCTCTGGACTGTGATCTATCCGTAGCCGTACGTTCAACTAAGCTTAGATCACCGGGCCTCAGGTTGAAATCAGTTAAATGCGTCGAGAACTTACCAGAAGACTGTGAAGTGAACAGGGAGTCGAACTGGCTTGTGGCGGAGGTGGAACTAAAACGCCCCCCGGCTAGGGCTGCCACAGCGGCAGCAGCCAACATGGGTGATATGCAACTACCCATCTTCATGGGACAATCCAATGGGCCTCCACAGAAATCCCCTCGGTAACTGTCTTCTGAATGATGTGTGGATCCATAGGGATTTAACAAACTGTGCGCAGACGAGCCAGTAGTAAAATTTGCTTGGAAAGCAGGAGATAATTGTTGTCCTGAAGTGACTGCAGCGTTTCCATCGAGTGGCAACGAGGTATCATAATTCAGTGTATTTGACCCAGCGGTAAAAGAGGAAGTGGAACCCCGGTCTGTGCACACATACTGACTGCTCATTTCCGGACTCTGTGTGGCTTCATCGCGAGGACATGATCCTTTGTGCAGTCTCATTTTAACACCGCGTTCTTTCATACTGTCAGTGGCGCCCACACCCGATTCGGATGATCTTTCCGGTGTTAGTGAATCGTACTTTCGTTGTTGATGCTGAGTGCACTCGGGACTTTCTCGAAAGGCAAGAGTGTCACTTTTGTAGGGAAGCATTTTTCCATCTTCTGACTTCATATTGCATATCGCACTGGAACTCTGGCATCTCTGATGATCGAGTAACTCGTTCGTTGTCCAATCAACCGGACACATCTGATTGCCACGCAAAGCAGACGAGGTGGTCACTGAGTGCGACTGTACGTTGCCGCTAAACCTACCTAGATCACGATTCGCGGTAATCTTCTTAACTATAGGTGCACCTACTGAACTACCGCCAGCACTATGCTGATCAACCGCATCATCGTCATGTTCCTTCCTTGATGCCCTGGATCCCGTCCTAGGAAGTAGTGTGGCCTCTTTGCGATCCTCGCTGTAAACAGTATCTTCGGAAGCTTCTCGCTGCTCTTTCCTTTGTACACATCGAATAATTTTCCCCTGAAATAATAAAACAAGCAAGTAAATGTTCAACAGGCCGAATTTCATCTTACATACAGCGCGTAAAAACAGGTATTTTATCCAGTGTTTGAGGCAAGGAAGTTTCTGCATCCGTGTTTGGCTAATGATCACCGGTTGAGTTTGCCTACCTATTTCACATTGCACCTGGAACATTCTGCAATATGACTGCGTACAGACGAATACCACGGCCATAACAAAGAGGATGCTCAGCGTTTTGCTAATTTAGAATGTCTACTATTGTGTAACTGTTTTCACTAGCTTCCAGCATTGCATTCAGCGACAGAGGCCAACCTCGTTAGTGTTCAACGGTTAAGACAGCGCAGCTGAGACCTTGTCGGTTGGCGCAGAGGCAACTTTAGTGCCCTGACTGTACACAGCCGCCAAATCAACAACTGCTTGAAATTAATTTCAGTGTGACATTCCTCACGGCAGTGGCGTTGTGTGAATAGGCGGCCCCATACAATAATAGTCCGGAGTAGAATTTTGTTCACCTGGACAGTCCTCGTGAGCAAAGTATCGTGGGCTGTCACCTCTCGCAATGTCGGCTTGGTTTTCCCATGAAATTGCCTAGTAGTTCAAGAATGCCACAGTTGATTCTCTATCAGATAAGTGAATCTTTTCTGACTGTCAACGCGGTTTCAATTGTTATTGCGTCCGCCTCTCGACACGAGCAGTTTCTCACTCCTGTCATTGGTCTATCCCTGACATTCACGAAAGGCAGATGAATATTAGTAGTAGAACTATGAAATCTGGAACTGCATTGCTGTCAATTTTGTTGTGTAATAACTTCCCCAGGAATTCGTAGATGAGCAAGGTCTCACTTTATTTTTTACTGACGTGCCGGATTCTGTTCACTATTTGATGCGTACTGAACCCTCATTAACGTCACAATGTAAAAACTCTGTCTTTCTCATGCCCGCAGCTTCACATGGAGGGAGCCAGCCAATCTGGTCATCGTGATGGATGCTCCGGTTTTCTTAGAAAGTAGCGCACCTACTTGTTGCGTATCTTCATGGGACAGCGGTCAGCCTAACCTCTTTTGTCTTGTGATTGGGTTGGATGCCAGTGAAGTTTGTTCATATTCAGCGGTACGTTCTAAAATAATCTTATTATTTGGTCTACCGGTATCAGACGATTGTTGCACCCAGCCACCGAGTACGCTTTGGACGGATATGTCGGGTGAAGTTTTACACTTTCAGTTTCCAGCATTGCTTAACTGGTCACCTGTTGATGTCTGTGGAAATCAGTCATTCCTTGAGTGGATTTCAATCTGTTCTGTAATTTGCGACCCCTTCTTATGCAAGGATAAGGTTTGTTGGTAGAATATGGGGACCGAATGGGTAAAATTGTTGTTGTTGACTCTTCAAGCACGCGGTCTCATGTTCCCGCACGCACATGGTAAAATAGAATTGTTAATATCAGTCACTTTTGTTCAGATTTTAAACCAATGACGGAGCGCGCGTCTGCGGTTACATCTCTTGTCTGCTCGCTCCCACCTAAGTTGCACCCAAGCTACGGGACCGTCGCCGTTCTGATTAAGATGGTTCTGTAGCACTACAGGCTACAGAGCCACACCCACTTTCTCCTTAATTGACCGTAATCAACCGCGAACTTCGCTTGACATGTGTGCAGCAGCTGTTGCCAGTCGTACACACAAATGCAAAATGGCCGGCCAACAGACCGGCCAAATACCCGTAGCCGTGTGTGAATGCGTTCCCCTTTATAGAAATCTACGTGCGCGGCTAAATTCGATGCGGCACTGGATGACAGTGTGCTTTTCAACTCTATGTGAGGCACTTATGCGTTTGCTCGTCACCCGGTCAGTAGGCATTTTATCGACTCAATGGAGCTGTTTCTTTACCAAAACCCTAACTCCTTGTGGTGGAGCTAGTCGTACACGAACGCACACAGCACAGAATGACGCTACCCAGTCTCCTCTCTGGTGGGGGTGTTCACCGCTCGCCCGCCCACCTACTCACTTCATTCGATGCGGTGGCACAGGCCGGCCAATATAGTGGCATACGGGGATGACGAGGAATCGGCGACTTCATTGCCACCCCTTCTTCCGTCTGTGCAAACCTACTTTAGTATGTGGAGAAAATGAACCAGCACAGTATCGGTGGTCATGTTGACACGACCAGAGTTGCGGTCAGCTGCTTTGTTTTCTCTCGTGAGCGAAAACTACCCGTTTTACAATCCCATGCCCACTTCTAGTTTCATCGTTCCACATACACACACACACACACACTCCTTCATCCCTGTTCTCATTCCCATTAACCCGAACTATGATTGATAACGATGCGCCAGTCGAGTAACTACAACCATGTGCTATGTGACCCTACTCGTTCCCTGCCCTCGAATATGCGTACAGCACCGGTTCCCAAAACCATTCCCACAACGTCACTCGATACGTGCCCAGCTTTGTGTGTCGGATATGGAACCTACGAAGAGGACAACAGCGTATGATATAAGACTGGTTCATCTCAATCAAACCTACTTTCCGCCAGTATCAGCTACTTTGTAACCACACTGGAAGCCGGGAGGAAGGAAGCATTTCTGATTGAACAAACACCCTAAAAGGTTAATCAAGTAATCCAACAGTCTGTGTAACGGCCACAATATATGCTTGTTTTATGGCAGAACGAAACGGTACACTAACTTGGGTCGATCTGCAGCCCGTGTCACCAGACGGGTGACAGTTTTCCAGTGAACTAGGACCACTGTGTCCATCGAATTACAGTTAGGACAAAAAGTCCGATACCCATACGTCCAGTTTGCGCGCACATGTGCGTTTCGTTCTTTTGGGAGATGGTACGAATGTCAACAAACGCGAATGATGTGCACACATCCAATGTTTTCAAACATTCTGTGAGGTGTCATTTGTGATCCTTGATCTTGACGTCTTCCCAGCATGAATTCAGTAGACGTCTCGTGATATGGCGAGGGTCCGGTTAGATGCATTTGAATCACAACGGGTAAGAGCGGAGCGTACATTGCCGAAGCGATGATAGCTGTTAGAGGCGCAATAACACACTGGATTTATCCTCTCCATTGAAACAGTGGAGTGAATCGACAGTAGGTCCAGCGCCTCTAAAATCATCCGTTTGTGCTGGTTTAAACAGCCGGTGTCTTTTTCAGGATCTGGGTCACTTGGTGGCCGTGGGCACCATAGGTTCCACCTCGGAACATGTGTCTGTTATCACACAGCGACAAACGGTCACTTGGAACGTGCATCAGATTTTCTAAACGGTGGGACAACCCTCACATTAGTAGGTAAGCAGACCTCTTAACTAGTGACTATAGAGTTCAAGCAAAACCAATGGCCCGAAAACTCTTCTGATCCGTCCTCTGCTAGGCTTCAGTGATTATAAAAAGTGATCGAGGTGCGAGCCAAGCACTGTTTGCCATCGACGAAATCATTAGAAAAATACTCCCATCGCGCGTTAGGTAAATGTACTTCCCTTCTAGTTCAAACTGTCGTTATACAGCAGTGCATCTATAACAGTAAACGAGAGAACTGACGACTTGTCAAGCACCTACTTTTACGCATGATAAATCATTGTTCATTGTTCATCAGTGGTATATAGCTTTTCCTAAACCTGATACAAGAACACCATAACGTAAATTATATGATGAAAATAATACACGATGCCTGAATTCCATAACTAATCAGCAATGGATGGGATACTTAGTGGGATACGCACAAGCAAGATGCAAAGTACAATGAGTAATCACGGGGAAAATCAGCTATTTGTCAAATCCCGCAGGACGGTTGCAGTGAGAACTATAATTTCAAAAAATTTATGAGTCATCTGTTTGAACGTTCATCAAGCAAATGTGTTGCTGAATATCGGTGGTGTGAAATGCGGCTCGAATGCAAACAACAATGCAACAGGGGAGCAGTTATAGCTAAGGTATTCCTTGAGAGAGAAAGTAAAAACAAGCGCGCTCACTGTTGTACCGCCTTCTTAAGTTAAAAAGACATATAATTCCAGTATGAGAGCATCATATACTCAAAAATAGCATAGTTAAGCTAACGAAGTGATGGGGGCCAAGGGCACAACATCCATTCGTTTTTTGAAAACAGCCGTGAAGGAGGAGACAGCTGAGTTTGGAAGGGAGTCCCAAGGTTGACAAACCCGAAGAGCAAAATAATTCCGCCGTCTGTATTGTTCACTCCATTTCAAGCAGTTACCTCTGCGGTTGGTGTTATGGTTGCGTTTCAGCAAGTGACGGCATACGTGCATAGGGCTACTAAGTAGTTAGTGCAATTTGCGGATGCCCACCACAAATGTTCTAGATTACTGCTATGACTTCTTTACAAGAAGCAAGGTCTTCTCCGATGACAGGTCGATGGGATTGACACACTCTATTAAAGGATGTTTGTGCCACATCCAGTCATAACATGTTCTGCATAAAAAGAACGAAGTACTCCCAACCATCCGAATCAACCACCAACCAACCTCGCTGGTTGACGACACAAACGTTACTGCCCGCCCTATAATTTTATAAACCAAAATAGGTACTAACAATTTGAAACTCATCCTACGAATTCATCACTGTTGCGTGCGGTTTAGGATAACATTTAGGTACATCTTCAACAACTAACCGGTGCTCCACTGTAAAACGCCAAAAGAGAGTTTACTTACACCCAACGATAATTTGCAGGTTCCCCGTTGGTGTAACGGTGTACCTGAGGCTAAGCCATGTTACTTTAAGCTGAAGGCATTGAACAGGAATTCCATGGACTTGGAATTGATAATTTCAAGCGCCTCAGCGTCGACATGTACGCATCCCTAGACGACTGGCCCACTCTCAAATGTCATTTGCTGAACGTCGGCAAATCTTTGAAGTAAGTCATTTTCGGACGAATATGACAGGCTAGTTAGTGAATAGGGAGAATACATAGCACCTAAGTTACAAACTTTTAGAAATTTTTGTACACTGGATCGCCGTAGTCCGGACCCCATGAGAGTGCAGTGCGTATTATGAACTGGACGCGTCATACAAGTGGTGTAGCCTGATCTGAATGGATCTTCAGCCATACCAACATCTAAGATGGGCTAACCGCGTCAGTTAGTTAACTCAAGTGGCCAGTAGCCTATCTCGCACTCGCAAATAGAAAAGCATATATTCATTGGCTTACTTTCATACACGCTGCGCTGCTCTCGTCATCAACGGATACCGGATCGCCGGCTACATCGTTGGATACACAGTTGCGCGCACAGATTGTTGCGGATGGGCCTCCGTGTGAACGCTTGTTGGAGTTGAATGAAACCGGCACATCCGTCTCGCCGTCCTCAGAGGACCAAGGCCGAGCTGAATCGACCATGTCGCCAGTTTCAGTGTCCGTCCTCAGAATGGAGTAAGTTCGACCGGATTCCTTTGAGGTGGGCGTCTCTCTGTGTGGCTCGTTTGACATGTTGGCGGTTGTTTTCGCACATGTAGTCATTTGTGGAGAGGATGGTTGATGTCTGGTGATTGTCTGAGATATATCGACAAGATCCGTACACTTCAGTGCCATTTGGTTTCGTGCTTAAGGTTGGCGGGCTATATAGTAAAAGTAACAACTTCCGTTGTTGGATAGTGACCACATATTTGTCAAACTTAAACGGTTACCTAAGTGTAAGCCATTTCATCAATAATAAGAAACCACATTCACGAAATCAACGTGAGATGTGATCAATTCCATGAAGGACTGTCCGCATGCTAGTGTGTTATGAATAGATATCAAAAGTGGACACAACTCACAAACTCTACAAAATAAAGATTGAAAATTTGGTGTTTCGTTATAAAGCTTCAGCGTTGAAGGAATACGCTGGTTTTGAATTATTACCGGTAAGGTGAAGGGCAAAGCGCCATGACCAACAAGCGCACACACACAGTAAAAAGAGCATTTAATATAAGAGGAGTGATAACTTGGTGAAGAAACAGTCACATCTGTTATATAGGTTTATTTCCGATTCAATGGATGTTAGAAGAAAGGAACAATTGAGCCCGATTCTACCGAACGTTTTTCAAGCCAAATATACAAATCTAGCGAATTTGATTGGAACTCAATTTGAGCTTAAGTGCAGACCTACCTTCGCTGACCGGTTAAGTTCAGCTCATGATGTAAACACGTTTGAATTTCATTGAATTGTACCATACCCGATTATTCCTTTGTTTTCTATAAATTACTTTTGCTAATTGAGACAGACGTACCAGTTCCGATTCATCTCGTATTCGCACTACAGAAGTAATCGGAATCAGTTGAATGCGATACAACAGTATAAGTTCCTAATTGGTTTCAAGGCAGATAACAATCAACATTGGGTTTGGACAATACTAAAACATTAAAATCCGGCGTGATAAGGGAATACTCTGCTTAAATAAGATTGAACGATTGAAGAGTGAAAGGGATTACTGCAGTTATGTCTTTGGATGCCGACAAGAAAATAAAGAAATGATGAGCGGCGTTAAGCAGACCCTACCTGTGAGTACCGGAATGGCGCAGGACAAGCATTTCGCTTGACAGTCACATCGGTCGCTCTGCATCTATGCGTAGAGACGAAGTCAAGGGGTATGACGCACTTTACATTAGCAGTCCGGTAGGGTCGATAAATCTGACAAATGGACACATGTATACACATGGTAACGAGCATAGTGAAGCACAAATGAGAAGCACGGCGGCTTCACAAATACTTTTTCCGTCCGTCTGCCTCCTCACATGTGGCGGGTGCGTTCGAGTTGACAGTCGAGATATTACAATGCGGAAGTCAGGTAAATCGCTGGTCCTTGTGAATCGTCCATAAGGTTCTTTGATGTGGATTGACGGAGAGTGGGGATGACCTAACACTACACATCGCTAATGTCACCGCCACTGGTGACAAAGTATACTACTTAGTTGATAAGCTCAGGGTGTATATAAACGCATGAAGAACCAATCAGAGTTGTCGACATATCCAGTTATTTAGCAGTAAATGAATAGCAAGTGGATTAGGTTACCCATATTCGCCCTACAGTCACTACAATGTAGTGACTGCATATTAATTATGACACTTCTCCCAGTTGAATATTCATCTCGTCATGTATTTGCATTACAGCATCGAGCCGTTAGCCCATAATGAAGTGCCGGTTGTCCGGAACTCTGTTAATTTATTATATTTAAGTGATAGGAGCCGTAGTGGCCACAGTTCTCCAGTTTTACTAAAATGAGCGGTGACCAATGGCACTGGTAGCGTTCCATCACGAATCTCCTTGGTCAACTCACTCTTGGTGTATGTGTGTGTGTGTGTGTGTGTGTGTTAATGTCGAATACACACACTTCATGGGTGCATAAAGCAAATTCGTGAGTTTACTTAACTTCTATACACCGTATCTAAAAATACGAGGACCTTATCCATATGTTCCAACTCCACCTTACATGTGGCATGGGAGATTCTTGATGTACGCTCGGCATGGTCGGTTTCTGCAGACAATGAGTTCGGTTCGAATTACTAATGCGCTCGAAGCGACACAAACTCCTCACACGTCACACGGCTGTCGCGTTCTGCGCTCCACTCTTCCTCAATCGGGGGCCTCACACTCATATCGACCTCGTCTTTTTGCATCGCTTCACGCTGCATTCCGTTACCTCACTATTATCATTACGTTACCTGGAGGACAAGTAGAGGATAATGATTTGGGTAAATGCATAAGCTCAAAAGATCAGTTAACCCAGTGATTCGCATTGTCTTAATTCATTCCTGTTAGTCGCCATTCAGACAGATCGTTAGTGCACTGTGCTTCTGGCTTCAGTCTCCGCAGGCATAGATAAGACTGCTATGCGAACAGTATAGTAACCGCTGTAACTAACCGTGAAACAACGTTGGCTATGGAGTGCATTTAAACGCAGGTGAACAATGCCTAATTGTCTTCACGGTTCTATCCTGCATGTCTGCCACATACTTCTTTTGAACTGACCTCGCCACTGTTCGCTTATTTTTATTCGATACCAGTAGGTAGATTAACGCACAACTCGCAATTCACAAGCTCACTAGTTTAATAGCCACATAAAACTGCGGGGTGATAACTTTTTCCTCAGAAATCTTACCAGATTTACAGGATGTTTCATCGGCACTTAGCCTTAACACATCCAGGATAAGCTGTCCGTTAGGTTATCGAGTAGGTTTCCGTGCCGTTAACTGCGTGCCAGGACAAGAAGGCCAAATTTTCCACCCACAATTTCTGAGGCTTTTTTAGGCGATGTCTCATAGCTGCAAGTTTGTGAAACATTAATCAAACAACCTTTCTGTCAGACTGACATTCCAAATATGTTCATTCCGTCGTCAGGCATAGGCAACATCCCAACATGTACAATCTGCAAGCAGAGTTGGCAGGATACTTGTAGCTTAGCCTAATTTCCACAGTGCAAGCTACATAATAGATCTAACTGCCCCACTCACTTTGAATAAAGAAAACACATAACACCGGTTTGCTGCTTTACGTTTAAATTACCTCACGGATGAGTGCTTCCTCGTTACCCGCCTTTTCGATTCAGAGTAAGGTTTGTTCATTCTTTCCTGAACCAAATGCGGTAGTACGTTCAGTTTTGCCACCTTACCAAAATGTAGACGACGCTTTTTACCTCGTCGAAAGAAGAACACGCAACAAGCTGAAACCTGAACATACCGCACAATTACTGCGACCCAGTTCATGGGGAGTATTCTCCGACTGATTATGCTGGATAAAATCCTCGGCTGCAGAGCCCCTATTGATGCAGCGGACAGTTATCAGCTTTATGCTGGTGATCATTGTTTATTGTGGGTTCCATTACTTCACTGAGTGTCTTATCAGAAATTGACAGAGCTACATTCAATTGTTGTATTAGGCATACGCTTACTGTATTTTAACAAACAGTGGGTCGTCGGGGAGTCACGTTTGCATTATATCGTTTCGCGAGCCGTGTGTATGGTTCATAACGCATTATAAGTGAACAATAATAAACATTTACCTGACGCGGACACTCGGCTGTCTTTCACAGAATGTTCAGTATTCCCTTCGTTAATCTATACGATAACTGGTCCACTCTGTGATCAACATTATGGCAGATGACCTTGCGAAGTTCGTGGCCGCATTGGGTCAAACTACCAAAAGTCATACTCCAGATACTCAGTTGCACATCACCGTCATATTTATGGTGCTCCATTTTGCGTCCATCCGCATCGCACCAGCCCGAAGTGACCGAAAGTGGCTGAGGAATATTCCAAACTTATTGGTCTCGTTCGTCCATTGACTTGAAGCTGGGCCTCTAACCTGCACGTTGCGGCAAGAAAAGACGCGGCACAATGATGATGGTTACCAACCCTGATCGCCATCCGATTTAATTCAATTGTTGTGGTGTTCACCGACCTGGACAACTTGATGGAGAACGCTTCGCGACCCTTCGAGGTAGCACCGTCAGTGCAAGATTGTTAACATTGACGAGACCATCTGGAATGCTGGTTTGCAATTAAGTTGCCTGGCTCGGCGAACACCACAACAACGTGGTATTCGCCGAGCCAGGCATTTTCCTTCACGTGGGTATGGTCGTATCACCTTCGTAGTTTTGCCTTCGTCGTATTAGTCTGCGCATACCAGCTCGCGTGCTGCGCGGAAAATTTGTGTTCACACATATTGGTAAGCTCGAAATTCGTCGAATCGTGGTTGATCCACAGAAAAACCCATTGGCTTTGCAGCGATCGCATACTCATTGGCAAATACCTCATTCTCGCGTGTAATGACGGTAATGTAGCAGTTCTCTCTGACGTTTTCCAGCCTATGGACTACCTGAAACACCTTTCGTTCTGATGAAAAGGGTATCTAACAGACAGTGCAATTTCTCCGCAGAGGATGATAGTTATAATGCATCCCGATCTGAATTGATCCCAGTTTAGCGCAATGGGTTACGACCCTGCTTACCTCATCGAGCTGCACTTAGTATCGTCTACCAAAAGCCTTCAATGCACTCGCGTCATCTGCTTCCCAATTCTCCCACGTAAGAGGTTAGAGGATAACAATTTCCTGGACATAAACCCAGTAAAATTGGCGTAGGTCGACGCAACAAACAAGGTAAGCTAGGGTACTAGGATGGTAAATAATGTCGTCCTGACACTAAACAGTGGTGGTAGGTTTAACATCATCCAAGATTTAAAAGAAAGACATAGTTTTAAAGATATCGAGTGTACGAATGACCTACAGGAACTGACCCCGGTGAGACTCTACAGTCAAACTTTCGAGAATTGTCTACTGTCCATGAGCTTGTGGATCAAACTGTTGAGTTAAAGATTATGGGCTGGAATTCCTAATTCAAACACCCACTTTCGGAATGCACAGAGTTTAGACGATTTAACCGCAAAACACTGCTAGTGTGCAAGTTTAACTAAGCGGTTTCTCTATTTCTATCTTGGACTTCTGGAAAGGCTGAGGCTTCAACTTAGGAAACTCAATTAGGTAAGTTATTTTCATGATTATAAGACAGGGACAGGTTGAATAATCAATTTTCATCTTGTATCCGATTGAACGGGTATCGGTTATTCAAAACGTTTGATAGCCCTGGAATACTTTTAAACGTCGTAATCGATAGTCAAGCCGAACAAGCCTTAAAGCTAGATTCCGCCGAAATTTGTCGTGCACCACAAACTTGTTCCTAGCCCGAGCAAGCTGGACGAAGTCAGCCGATACCAGCCAAGGAATTGACGTGGTGTACCTGGACTTCTCTAATTCATTCCATCGCCTGGACCACGGAATTCTCCTTCACAAACTTCAAAGCTATGGAATCGGTGACCCTGCTAGGTTGGATAATCAACTTCCTCATTCAACATCAGCCGAATGTAGGAGTCCGCAGATCCATCTCAGACCCAGTTGAAGTCCAGTGTGGAGGGCCTCAAGGATCGGTACTGGGATCACGTTTGCTCCGATCTTGCTAGGGTGCTCCAGTAAGACTTCTTACTATTTACAGATATCGTCAAGATCTGGCATGACATCCAGACAGTGGGCGACCACGCGGCACTACAAATGGATCTCGACAGGGTCTACACAGGGTCCTCAGAATACCGGTCCCAGTTCAACGTGGCGAAATGCAAAGTTCTGAGCATGCGCCATCAGTGTACTCACGAATATCGACTGGGAGTGTCGCATCCG